AATCTTCAGATACTTTTTTGTCACTGGAATGTCAAATTATGCATTAATCATGTGACTATTATAATGTGTAAAACATAGTCTAATGGCGGATCGAATACAGTTCAACATCGCTACTTAATTCAAACCACATCGCCGCTGCTGCTACTTCACTAAGCTACATAATGTGGCCTATATGTTTAACATGGACTATGTACGCCGCATTCAGTGTTGATTTGTAAGCCTTTACCCTGCCAGGTCATGGCGTCTGTTTTGTCACATATACAATGAACACTCTTAATAAATAGACAGATTTACGTTTTTAGAAATTAACCCAAGAAATCAGATTTAAATAACCCAAATAACAATTTTAAATAGAGGGTTTAAAACAACAGTAAAATCCAAAATGGCAGTCCTGTGTATAATCGCTAATGGATAATGAAGCGGACTGAGCGGGTAGCCATAATGACCCAGATAATACAGCACGAATATCTTGTTTTCATACTTTAGTATCGTTCAAGCCAACAGCTAGGTTGGCTGGTATTCCTATGACTGTAACTACACGCATATCGACAAGCAATCAAGCCATTGCCTCGATAGCAATAAGCCGTAGAGGGGGGTTAAGAGAAACGAGTATCTTCAAAACTAGCTGTTCACTTGTACGAGGAATGTCGATACGGGCAGCCATATTGAAAGGGGTGTTTCAATATTGCAGTTTAGCCAGGGTTTTGAGCAAGATCTTCAAAAATGATGGCTTTGAAAATAGTGAATTTCGATTACAATTTTTACTGTAATCAAATATTATTTACTCCTATTTCTCAAATTTGGATATTTTTTTGGCACATGAGCTTTTCTTGACACCCCGCCTATAGAGCTAATTGCAATCTATTTCCGTGTATAATTTATTGAAAATCCGATGAAGTGGTGAAAAATGGCTGCAAAGAAGCCGAGGTAAGCCATTTTTAGTTGACAAAAATTCAGGAAAATCCATTTCTATCTTCCTTTCAGACAACCGCCTTTGTTCAACCTTGCCACATATGCTCTGACGTCACGGTTATCACGTGGTAGTTTTGGCGCCAAATTCGATCCTAATAGATTGGCTGTTTATTATAATGTGAACAGAACAAAACTACTACATTGTAATTTCCTTCCTCGGCAGATCTGGGGAACAGCAACTAGTTAGAATATTTAATTACAGTCTATTAAGAAATATGAACTTTGAAAAACTCATTTATCTATGAACAGTTTGATAATAAAATTTACAGATAAATACATCCATCATACCTATATAATTTCTGATTTATAAATCGAAATTTTAAAAACTTCGATTTTGTGGGGGGGGGGGGATTTCTTCCTACCAACCAACGTCTTTTAAATTCCAGGGTCTTTTTTTCCGCAATTACTAAACCGATTTCATTATTTTTTATGGAATTTTAAAAACATCGATTGGGAGGGGGAGTTCTTTCTCAGATGACTTGAGGCTTTCAAAGTTGCCATCTTCCAACCAACTTCTTTTAAATTTTATGTTTAGTACACGTTAATATTTGGGGGGGGGGGCAGTTCTTCCTACCAACCAACGTCTTTTAAATTCCAGTTTTTTTTTTCCGCAATTACTAAACCGATTTCATTATTTTTTATGGAATTTTAAAAACATCGATTGGGAGGGGTGGGGGTTCTTCCTCAGATGATTTGAGGCTTTCAAAGTTGCCATCTTCCAACCAACTTCTTTTAAATTTTTGTGTTTAGTACACGTTAATATTTTACAAAAGCAGGGTCAGATTAAAGTTTGTGATAGTTAAATGAAGGATTTTTAATCCTTCGCGAACATGAATTGTGAAACATGAATTTCTAAAAGGAAAATTGTTCAGTTCCGTTCAGTATTTACCAAGATATAATGAATAGAAAAGTCTGTTAAAAGCCGCGACTGGAATTTTGACTATTTCTGATTTATGATAAGTATACGTATCTTGTAAAGACGCTTGAGGCTAAATCTGTGAAATTTCTAATGCAAATCTTCATTGATACTTTCAACGTAATGCCACATTGTCGATAAGTTTTAAAAAAATATTCATCAAGATATGAATTGTTAGAGAATATGTGAGCCTAAAACTTTCCTTCACATGTCATCATAGTTTGGGCCTCCTGTAGTCTTTTATTGAGAAACTTGGATAAAGTAGGCCGAATGTACCAAGACAAACCGAGTACCGTATTAAACTGGTTTCCTTCCACAATGAAAGAACCAGACATGCAAGCGAAAGATTGAAACAAAGAATCTTTCGAAATGATCTGGGTTTTTTTGGGGTTTTTTTTTACTATAGGCATAGTATAATTACTTGGAGTTGTATAACACGCCCAGTACCTTTACTGCACCGCTGCCTTAACAAAACAAACCCATATTTTACTAACGTAAATAACCTGGTTTGTGTCAAGTGGACGTTAAACGTCATCTCTCACTCTAAACGAAACCCGGTCTTTATATAGGCCGTTAAATAAAGCCCCATTTCATTCCATTTATAAAGGATGCAAAGTGTCAGTATAGTTTGCTTGTTGTTTTTTTTTATTATTAAATAAATAGGAGTATCTGAGGTTGTTTCGAAAACGTGCATAGTGGTCCTGTCATAAAAAAGTGTTTCCTTATTCTAATGAAATATGCGATTGGAATTTTAGTCTGACATAGGCCTAATGATCAATATCTTCTTTTAGCACGATTTGCAGTTCCCATAAGGGTTTTTGCACAAAACCGATTGTAAACTACGTTTTGTCTGTGGTGCATTGAGAGTCTGACAAAGAACATGGTCTAGTCGTCGGGATGGGACGAAAAAACGTGGTCCCGTGTACACCTTGGTATGCACGTAAAAGAATCCTTGACATTTGAATTTGACGAAGAGTAGACAGAAAAGCCGTTACCGGTACAAAATTTCCCACATTGCACACCTCCATTATCCCGGTTTGTTCAAAAAGGGACGACGTTAACCACATTTCACTTCATTAGATTTAAAGTGGCAGCCCTTTTAAATTATAATTCAAATGCCATCATTCTTTAGAACAACCTATAATAATTGGTGTTGGGTTCGGGGATGTTGTTTTAATTTGAACTGATTAAGAAAAAAAGTCTTTTAAATACTATATCCATTTCAACTGTGGATTATTGGATATGTCATTGTGTCATAAGAAGTGTGCAAATGCGATGACACTGCACCAAATTAAATACAATTTAGATGCTTCGTTTTTTCAACAGCCCCCTTCTTCATTAGCCCAGTTGGGGCAGAAAAGTATAAGGACGCTAAACCCCATTTCATTTCATATTTTCAACAGACCACATTTTTTCAAACATGCATAACTCTGTTTGTAGGCCCACATTAAAATTTGGTGTATACTTTGGTCACCTCATCTGTCCGTCGTCCCCAATTGATCACCCACCCGATTTATATACTCTTCAAAGAAAGTAGGGGATATTCAGAAATAATACAAAACTGCAGAAATGCACTGCTATTATTAGTAGAGGTAACCAGTGTATGTTAATAACAGGCCAATTCCCTATACATGAACATAAACAGTTCATATGGGTGGCTTATCTGACGGTCCCATTTCACTCGCAAAGAATTACACCGTCAAAAGTGAAAATGGACGTTTTTGATTTTTGTCTTAATAATGAGTAATTGCTCCACCAATCCTCAGGCATTCAGCAATTCGTCGTGGCATGCTCCTAATCAACCGTCCAATCACGATTTGGGGCAATCTGACCCACCCCTCTTGCAGTGCCACGGCCAATTCTTGCAGTGTTGTCGGTTGACGTTGACGAACACGTCTCCCGATCAAATTAAACGTAACACACTAAAGCAAAGACACGCTAAACAGTAAATCATATGCAAAAACCGATAGGAAAGCAAACGCAGATAGATAAACCAGCACGAGGCAGTTTTCATCAACCCTTCCTTGAAGTGTCAAATTTGACAATGAACCCCTCCCACGTGTATGGGGCTATTGCGTGTCGCATGTGCAGCTCAGTGGTTCTGTTGGGGCGACAAGTTCTTCATTAGTGAACATACTCTCAAAGCATGTCAAATGTCCATGACTATTTATCATATCGCAACCTGCATAGGTATTTGAATTTCAATATCCCCTACTTTTTTTGAAGAGTATACTTGAATAGCAATTATCATCTGCTTACAGGTACATGTTTTACATAAGAAATGTTAGCACTAGGAAGACCTAGAAGCTAATCAAATTTTAGTTATTTCGGATTATTACTTACTAGTTGTTACTCTTGGTCAGTTTTTCTTGTCTTGTAAATGCCCCTATTATCTATAACAGAATTATTGTACAACCTTTCTGGACCGTTTTGGTGCATGTTTCGTTGCCGGGCAACATTTTTTCTCTCTGCTTCAAATTCATACGGACGCAGAAATAATCAAACTTTACGTCTTCAGGTTTGATCATCATTTTGAACGTCCTTTTTAATAAAAAAAAAAATCTTTTTACATAAGATTGTCGAATTACTGAATGTTTTTACATGTTTTTACTTTTGAAATTAACTTCTAATATATAATTTTCAAAACTGGCCCAAGATATGAATTATGTAAAGGAGATTTGTTTTTGTGGGGTTTTTTTTTAAGGATTGGGTGGTGGGGGTGGGGGCTGTACTATTATGGTAAATCGATTCCATTTCTTTTAAAATTACCAAGATTAAGATGTGAAAAAAAACAGCTTTTGTGATAATATTCTGTTGATTTCGATGTCATAATTTTGAAAATCAACCAAAAAACTTTAACATACATCTTTAAGGCAACATTTTAAAAGTCATACTTTAAGTTAATTTAAATTAAGTCATTCGGTTGTCTTCTTTATTAGAGAATATGAAAATTCTAATAACAAACTTTATGAAATAGTGTCAGCATTAGTGGCTACGTCATAAAATGGACCATTTTCATTGGCTGAAAGTTACGGTTAACTATTAATATTCATGGTAGTGTAGTTTCTGCGCGAGCAACGCGTCAGCCAATAATAAGACCCCTCTATAAACCATTGATACACCGCGCGCTGTGGCGGAGTAGCATTTGTCTTCGCGGCAACTAGAAGGCAGGGAGGACATTGCATGATTTTAGCATATAGCGTAGACTAAAACATAGAATAACAAAGATGTCAGTCGGAATGGAGAAGCGCATTGAATTGGAAATGCGAGGAAGAGATGCCAGCAAGGTTGTATAACATTAATTAGATCGTTACTTACTCGAAAGCAGTAGAAATCATTGTTTACAATTTTCGAGAGCTTGGCGTGTTGGACAAACGTACCGCACATGTTCTCGTCATTACAGGCTGTGTTGGCCTCATTTTGTTTAGGTTTTTCTCTACCCTGTTGTGTATCTTCCGATGTAAACCGTTGTTTGTTTTTTTTCTGAATATTGTGGTCCGATTGTTATGATTTTATGACCTCGTGTTGTTTCATGCGACTTTTTAATCGTACAATACACGACTTTTCACTAGATATCCAGATCAAATATGGCGCCATAACTCGACAGTGTACGCGAATAATTGGAAAGATTTTTATCTCCACGGCTTAGAAAAAATGTAGGATGCGATGGTTTGATATATATTTATGGATACGCTTTTCTGAAAAGTTTTTTCATGGTTCTTGCACATGACAAAGAGGTGTACATGCCTGTTTTCCTGCACACTAAAATGATAATAATGGCAATGCCATCTCTTCGACTTGACCTAAAATCGTCTTAATAAACCAGTGCGTCATTGTTAAAAAACCCGTGTGTAGACGCAAGTTAATATTTTGAATACATTTGAAAGGTTATAAACATTATATTAATATCCTAATCACACTATGTTCTGTTTCTAGTAAATTGAACAACGATTTTAAGACCACGGCCAATTTACATAACTAAGTAAGCACGGTTTGTCCTTGTTGTTGGAGAAATGGGATATATATTTTTCGGCCATGTTGGTTCGCCGTGCTGAAATCGTTCTGATATTTGCTCTTTCTTGATTTTATGCCCTGCATGACTTACATTTTAATATGTGAACCATTAGAGTTATGTGCAATGAAAGTTTGCGTTCAATATGATGGCTTTACGTCCATCAAATGTCAAATCCAATATTTTAAGGTTGACCGCATCGTGAAGTAAGGGAGATCAGTCGCGTGGTTTGCAGATATTGGGCGTAATGTGGCCGCCATTTTGTTCTCGGCTGTTCCATTATTTTCAAGGATAACCGATTGTTGTTCTCACTGGTGGTTTTATTTTGTAATGTAGATGATTTTTATAAATAATTCTCTCATCTCAGTCAAAAATTATCATGGTCATTGGAAATGAAAGTGATGATGAAATTGTTCTAACTTTGACCTAATTTCGTCTCAACGGAAGCAAGTCCAGACTATCGCCGTTCTGGTAGCCTAGTAGTAATAAGCTAAAGAAAAGCTCTAGTACTGCTTCTTCGTCATGTCCTATACTATGAATATCCCCATTCGCAGTTCATTTAGTATTGTGTGAGTTAGTTGTATTTTACGTCTGCTTCCGAGGTGATTTTGCAGACAAAAATTTAGTATTTTCATTCAGTATTTATATTGTTTGGAAATGAATTCAGGAATGATTGAAACAGTGAAATTAAGACAGTATCTGTAGGCCTATTTGAAATATTACACGTATATAGTCTGATAATAGGGTGTACCCTTTCTATGTTGTAACTGGCTGTAAATATGCAGGAATGATGATACTCCAGCACTGGGCTATGATAACATGATTACTGTGCCTAGCTGACCTGCAATGTTCAAAACAGTTTTTAAATGAGCCCATTCGATCACATGATCCAGCACCCCCATCCCGCACATAATAAAAGGAGGTTGTTAAATAAACCAAATAGTATTGCACTGTCTTGCAGAACACATACATTTACATGCCGAGGAGTGAGTTAATCATAAGTAGGCCCTATTACAGAACAGATTAAATCAATCAATATTAAGTCTTTTAATTGTTTGGTTTTCTTTTCAGATCAAAGAATTAAACCTTGATAACTGTCGGGCTTCAGAATTTGAAGGGTTAACCAGTGATTTTTGCAGTTTAGAATCCCTCAGTTTAATCAACATTGGGTTACAGTCACTTAATGGTTTCCCCAAATTACCAGCCCTCAGAAAAGTATGTTTTTTAATTTTTTTTTTTTTACACATGCAACTGTACTCTAAATATAACATTACAACACTTTTGTGTACAATAAAGATGCTTCTTGTCTAAACATGCTTAGAAATTGTGCTTGCAATTTATGGCAGAAAAATGTACATAATTATTACCTTTGTATTTCTTATACACATACTAGATGTGATACCTAACAAAAGTGTTTCTAGACCTGTAGGTGCAGAGGCCGGAACCACTTCGTAACATCGGTACATTTTCTACAAATATTGATTGATCTATATGCATGTAAACCTGAAGGTGATTTCAACAGTTGTGTGTACAACGAAGATCCTTCTTATACACATACTGAATGATCTTGGGTTAAAAACTAGATGTGATACCTTACAACAGTTTCCTAGGCCTTATCTGTAGGTGCAGAGGACGGAACCACTTCCTAACATCGGTACAGTTTCTCCAACATATTGATTGGATGCATGTAACGTTAAATCTGGAGATTTCTGGCCCTGGGTTCAACAAAGCATTCTCAGACTGAAGTTATGGATTTACTCAACTTTTAATCACTGTTTGGGAAATCTGTGATCCAGAAACACAAGACTTTGCAAATTGTTTCTTATTGATGTATTTTATACATTAATACAATTTTATACTTTTTAGTTAATAAAGACGAAAAATTTTAAGTAAATTGTGTGTGGCTATGACTCGTATGGACCTTTGCTTAATTTGCATCGTCACGACCGTGTACATGTGCTTTGTCATGTCTTTTCAGCTTGAATTAAGTGATAACAGAATTTCAACAGGTTTAAAGGCATTACAAGGCTGTCCCAAATTAGAAGCTCTCAGTCTGAGTGGAAACAAGATAAAAGATATTGATGCACTGGAACCATTAGTAAGTAATACTCATTTCAGCTTGCTCATAATTATACATTACTTTGTCATTTTTGGGGAGATGTTAATTAAATATTTTGGATTAACTGGGACTCTTTATGATAATCTAGGCTACACCATGAACATAATGAAATGATTTTAGTGTCCGTGTGAAGTTTTAAATTGAAGTTTTAGTTTAAGCATACCATTTGGGTAACCTAGTAAGTTGGTTGAGGTTGTTTGCACAAGATTATATGATATTAATATAGAACTTGTGGCTATGTTCTTAATGAAACAATTACTGATATTTTTGCTCTCCTAATGATAATTGCTTGGTTTGATGGGATAAGCATTGTCATAGACCATAAAATATATTAGCAACTTGATCCAGAATTTTATTCTGTGTTCCAGATGAACATGAACATTCATCGCTACGCAATCTGATTAAAACACAGATCCTATTTTGTTTTGTTTTTTATAGTTCAAAATTTCGATTTACTTTTCTTTACTACACTAGGATCTGGAAGAGTTGTTATATTACTGACATTTTGGTTGGAGTGAGGGATACTTCAATGAAACGGTCTGTTAATGCAACTTCTTGGAGTGTCATGCGCGGAACTGTGGGTAAACCACTAGAAATGTCAAAGCCTGACGTCATAGGGTCATAAGCTGCTCGTACGCCCCCTGGCAGTACAACTTGTCAGATCCTCTTGGAGTGTAGGCCATCGAAGGTATAAAGAGACGTAATATAGATCTGTATTTTGATCAGATTGATCGCTATGACATTTCTAGTAGCTCTAGTAAAAATTGAATTTTAATATTTTGTATGGTCAACCTTTCTTGGAAAATTAGTATGAATTAAAATTTGGTCACAATGATGATTGCTTACTCAGCTCACTTTGATTTCAAATATGAAACTAAACATTGCTTTTCACTGAGTGACCAAAAGCCTATTATTCACATTTACCTGTTCTTTGAGATCGTGGCTTTCTACAAAATATGTTTTTTTATACGCCCACATAGAAATGCAGACATACCTTTCCGTCCGTCGTCCACAATTTCTTGTGAACTGTCTAACGCCAAAAGTTATCATCTGATTGGTTTAACATTGATGTTTATATTAGTAAGATGAAGAATCCAATTTAATTTCAATAAATTCCATTACCAGTAGTTACTTCAAGGGCTACGGGCCTCGTTTCACTTTGTTGCACCTTGTTAATGCTCGAACATCAAAACTTATCTGTTTATCTGTTTGAATTTTATATGTGTCATTTAAATTAGTAAAAAGAATCCTATTGAATTTCATCAATTTCCATTTATGTCTAAAATTATGACCCTTGTGAAATTTATATGCATTATTTAAATTAGTGGAATTTCAGCAATTTCTGTTAATTACGTTTAGAATTATGGCCCTTGTTTGTTTCACTTTGTTCAACCTTGTCAATGCTCGACCGACAATGTTATCATTCGATTTCAATCTGTATAAAATTTATAAGCATCATTTAGATTAGTGAAACAAAGAAGTCTATTTAATTTCCAACAATTACTTCTACATTTATGGCTCTTATTTTACTTTGTGAACCATGTGAATGTTTGAATGACAAAAGTTATCGGCCGATCTGTATAGAATTTATATGCTTTATTTAAATTAATAAAACGAAAAAGCCTTAAAATTTCAGCAATTTCTGTAAATTACTTCCAGCATTAGAGGCTAAAGTTAATATCCGATTGATTTTAAATTTATACAGAGTGTTTAAGGTCATGAGACGAATAAGTCTATTAATTTTCAGCTATTTCTGAGAAACACTTCACGTGTAATGAAGCGCTATATAAATCGAACAATAATAATAATAATAATTACTGCCAGAGTTATGGCCCTTGATCACTTCCAAATATCTTGTGGATGCTCTAGAGGCTATAGATAATATCAAATTGACTTTAAATTTATACAGTGTTTAAGGTCATGAGACGAAGAAGCCTGTTGATTTTCAGCCCTTGATCACTTTAAAAAATCTTGTGACGCTCTACAGACAAAAGTTATCATCCAATTGACTTTAGATTAATACAGAGTTTAAGGTCTTGAATAGCTAAATCCATGATATTAAATGTTTCGTATACTAAACTTTAGCATGGGGCAGAACTTTATAAAAGCCTAACAAATTCTAATGATTTTCTGATAATTACTTAATGAGTTGTTACTCTTAATCAGATTTTAATGTATTATAAATGTTTCATTACCGAAAAAAGTAAAAATATGCGACAGCTCTTGCTGACTGCCCGGACGATTTAGCTGCTGTGGATGTATGTTTCGTTGCCTTGCAACCTATCTTTTCAGTTTGTAGAACCTTGTGAACCCTCAATCAATGAAAATTATAATCAGATCTGTATGAAATTGTCTTGTAAATGCCCCCAATTACCTACAAAAGAATAAGCTGTGGGCTTTTGTTTTGTTTCCTGGCAACCTACCTTTGATTGGTTGTATCTCTTATTGAAAACTTTTCTAATTTCAGAAAGAATTAAAAAATTTAAAGAGTCTTGATCTGTTCAACTGTGAAGTGACAAATGTTGATGATTATCGTGAACAAGTATTTAAAATCCTTTCCCAAATCACATATTTAGATGGTTTTGATGTAGATGATAAAGAATGTGAAGATTATGATGAGGAAGATGGTGAGTTTTTGTTTTATTTGATTCAAATATCATTTATTCATTATAGCAGGAATGATGATACCTCAGCACTGGGCTATGAAAATTAATGATTACTGTGCCTAGCTGACCTGCATAGACCTATATCATAAATATTCTTAGGGTATTAAATTTAGATCATTGATATTGAAAGTTCAAAAGAAAAGTAATTTTCACTTGTAAAAAAGAAATCAAATCATATAAGCATTGATCCATTTCATATGTAATTAACCCCTCTGGATGAGGCCCTGACTTTGAAGATAGTACAAAGGTAATGGTTTGTTTTGTAGTTGAAGAAGTTGATGGTGAGGGAGATGATGATGATGAGGAAGACGAAGATGGTATGTATATATTTAGTGATAACTTTCTATTGTCACATTGATGAATGCTTGAATTACCCAAGTCTCTGATTCTCCTCAAGTTCTTTGAGGAATTTAAGATGGATGCAAATTTCTGAGTGACAATATTAAAGATTAATTATATACAGTTAATCAAGCCATAGATAAACTCTTAAAAGACCAGTAGTTCTTTCAGTGTTTTTTGGTGACTAAACCACAACCCTACCCCCTGTGATCTTTCATGAAAAATACTTTCTGCAAATAACCTAATTAAAGTTGTTTTTTTCTACATATATACATTATTTGACCAAACTTTCTTCCAGTTTATAAAAGAAATCAATGAGAGGCATACATATGAATGTATTGTCACATTGATGAATGCTTGAATTACCCAAGTCGCTGATCTTCCCCAAGTTCTTTGAGGAACTTAAGATGGATACTAATTTCTGAGTGACAATATTTAACATTAATAATATATGATCATTCAATAGTACCATAGAGTATCGCTAGAAGAACCAGTACCTTTACAGTGTTATTCAACCTGGATATTAAACCGCCCCTTCCCCTATCTGTCTTTTGTACACCCTAACGCTTATCCCCTTGGAAAAACTCTATAGGCGATGGCATAATAAATCTTGCTATGTTTTCTAAGCAAAGGATTGTGAGACAAAGGATTTTGTAAACACCCAATTTGATCAACCCCTAATGTAACTGCATAGTCAAATCATGGATTGTTAATTTAAAACCTGGTGAATATTTTGTTTCTCTATCATTTTTATCCACTTACCTTAAGATATTTATGTATTTAAATTGATATGTTATGTCACAGTGATGATTACCATAACCCAAGTCGCTGATTGACTTTATTGATGATAATAAGCTCTGAGTGACATCAGCTTATTTTATTCCATTATTAGACAGATTATTGACTGTAATAGTGGGGAATTTTTTGGTAATTATTATGTATTTCTTTCAGAAGATGAAGATGGTGATGATGATGAAGTTGATGAGGAAGATGATGATGAAGAGGTCGGTCTTGACTACTTGACAAAGGACAATATTGATGTTAGTCATATATTGATTAACGCATAACTGGGTCTTTACCCTTAGATTATAGATCTGATGAACATATGTTCATAAATCATTGAATTTGATTCAACCATATTGTCACTGCTTTATAGATTTCCTCAAATGAATAAGCACCACCCCAGTTTTAAATGTCATCTGGTTGAGCTTATGACTGGGAGAGTGTAATTGCCACAAAACCTGACATATTGTTTTGTAGGAAAATATTAGTATTTTTATACACCCACATGGAAATGTGGTCGTATATTGCCGTTGGTCCGTCCGTCCATCGTCCACAATTTCTTGTGAACACTCTACAGACTACATTTATCAACCGATTGTTTAGAAATTGATATATGTTGTTTGCATTAGTGAGATTTCTGTTAATTACATATAGAGTTATGGCCCTTGTTTCACTTTGTTGAATATTGTGAACGCTCTAATGACAACAGTTATCATCCGATCTGTTTGAAATTGATATGCATCATTTAAATTAGTGAAATGAAGTTGCTTTAACGACAAAAGTTATTATCCGATCTGTATGAAATTTATATGTATCATTTAAATTAGTAAAACGAACAAGCCTATTGAGTTTCAGTTATCACCTAAATTAGTGAAATGAAGACAAACAAGCCTATTGAATGTCAGCTATTTCCATCAATTACGTCTAGAGTTATGGCCCTTGATTTACTTTGTTGAACTTTGTGAACTTTCGAACAACAAAAGTTATCATCCGATCCGTATGAAATTCATATGCATTATTTGAATTATTAAATCGAAAAAAGCCTGTCGAATTTGAACAATTTCTGTGGATTGCTTCCAGAGTTATGGCCCTTGTTTTAGATTTTAGAACCTTCAAACAACGGAAATTATAATGTCATCTGTATGAAATTGTCTATTAAATTCCCCTAATTACCTACAAAAGAATAAATATGTGACAACCCTTGTCGACTGCTCGGACGATTTAGCTGCTGTGGGCGTATGTTTTGTTGCCTGGCAACCTATCTTATAAAAATGGTTAGCAAGAATGTTTAAATTGTGTTTTAGGATGATGAGGAAGATGAAGAAGACTTTGAACCAGGTAGTGGAGGTTTAGATGATGAGGATGAAGATGGTGAGGTTGAGGCAGAAGATGGAGGTAAAAGAACCAGAATTATTTTTTATTTTATATTTATAAATTTTGAACTATATAGTGGAAGTAAAAGTTAAGTTGCAATGGGGAATTTATACTTTTCAAATTAGGAAATTTACATCAGAATTTTGTGTGGTTGGCAATACATCTTTTCCCCCATAACCATGGTGTAATTTGTGAAGACGATGATGTGGCCATTGTCTTTATCCTGTGAGGTACATGATCAGTTTTATAATAGTGTAGCCATGACTTAATGTGATAACCAGACATAAGTTGCCCGGAGCTCAAGAAACTTTGTTGCATTCATCGGGTCATATTTTGATAGCTTTCTTTGAAAAGGCATATTAAAGGCTATAAGATTGAACTTACCTGAAGTCTTATTTTTTTTTCCTAGAGAGAAACTATTAAACATTTTTTTATTGTAGAAGATGATGACGATGAAGATGATGAAGATGGTGAACCTGAAGTTCGTGGACAGAAACGAAAACTGGAAGAAGAGGATGGAGAAGCGTAACCATTGCCCAAGGCAGAATTTTAACTATATGTAAAAAAAAGACTTGTATTATTAAGTGTGTGGGTTCTTCTGGGGCTATAAGAACCAAACTGGACCAAGTGTGTGAACATTGGTGCTTGAGTGGCCATGCTACATTTACTACCATCTGAATTCTCAGTTCTAGACTGTATAAGTTTGATCCAGTGAATTTCCATCAAATGTGTACCGGCAACTGTTATATTTTGTTAATTTTTTTTTTTTTGTTTATTGCTGGAGTCCCTCTTCGTGGTTGAGAATCCATTAAACTCAATTTATTTGTGCTTATAATTTTAGAAAATATGCCAGTTGATTTGTACAGTGTTTTTTGTAGAAATGTGTGTATATATATATATACGTATATATATATAACGTCTCTAATGTTTGCCTTATGTATGCAGACTATTGTTTATAGACTTCAGTTGTTTATTTTTTTTAGGGTTTAAATAACTATCCGAGAATGAAGCATGGCTACTTGTTATCACATCCACGTTAATTTGGTCCCTGTCCAATCATAGCTGCCTGTATCGAAAACCGATTTTTGGGGGAGCTGTTCCAAACGCTGGTATTACTATTACGTTGTACATAATTTTTCTGTTGAAAAGATTTAACATTAGCCTACATATTGGAAACATCTTGACTTGTTTCACTCCATAAGATCGTTTTCCTCTCTCAAACCTTTGTGTATGTACACCTCTCATTATAAATTGAGCTAGATTGTCAATTAGTGAGTATCTTAGATACAAGACATAATTTTAACTAGTTTTAATTTGATCCGTTTCCAAAACTCCTTTGTTATTAAATTGAAATTGTTAACTACTGTTCTGTCAACAAATTAAAAGTATGCATCATGATTGATCATCATTTTCATTAATACATTATCTTTATTGGACATGGCACAAATCCTCTAATCACCACATCGTCATTCACATCATTTCATATCATTTGTACAGGATTTTTCACGAGGCTTGTTGATCCATATTGCTGAAATATTGAGAATCACCGAAGTTGTATAGGCTATATCATTTCTTGGACATGGATTTGTGCCACAGTCCTCATTGTTAAATGTGTATTGATCAATCTTTGTATGTGCTTGTTGCAATAAATTTTTATAGAAACACTGTATATATATATATATATATAGCTTTGATGAATTTATTGGATTAATGAGTAAAGAACCGTGAGCAAGCTTAAAGATAATTTTTTTGTCCCCTATCTTTCAGGCTAGAATGTTAAAGCTTGGCGTAGGTGAATGTCTTTACTGAGGTTTTAATTAACATCTTCTGCTATGGCTAAGCAGAGATAAGCAATTTGATTGGTCGATGCTTTGGGGGGAAACGATAAATTGGATTTGATCATTTTCTGATTAGTCTATGAATTGTAACCCTGAACTTCAATTCTAATTTGGAAAGTAATTACATCAAAAGATCCTTAGCCTTTTCTGCTTAGGCTATGCAGAGATAAATGATTTGATTGGTTGAGGATTTGTAATACAACCTTGATTCTGATTTAGGTAGTAATTACATCTAAAGCCCAGAGCCTTTCTGCTTAGGCCAAGTAGAGTGATGAGTACTTTGGTTGGTCAAAGACTGGTAGGCAAATAGATTCTAATTGCGAATTATGAAACTTTGTGTATAATTTCACCGTAAAAAAAAAAAAAACAATTTTAATCCTGGACATTTTCTGCTTGGGGCTAAGTTTTACTGTTTGACGCTGTGCAATTAATGGGTCATTTTTTATGTTGGCATTGAGCAAGGGGACACCATCCCACCTGTTGCCTGGTTGATATTGGGATATCGCAAGTGAAGTTTGGAAGAAGCACATTAATCCGTATTTTGTAGGGCTATATCACCCTTTTAGCTAAAGAGGGAAATAATTGAGGGGGGTCACGGTTGGTAAGACGCTTGCTTGCTAGTCTGGAGGTCGGGTGTTCGATCCCTGCATTGGCCGAGAAAGTTCATCCAGATTTTTCCGGCATGGTTCCCCCTTGTCAGTGATGCAGGACGGAGGGCCTGACAAGACAGATGGAAGGGAAAAGCTAGGTCACATGTACATACTGGCGTGCACGTAACAGATCCCTTAGCAGTTGGAATTTGATTTAAGAGTAGGCCGTTGTCCGGGCAAAATTTCCCTCGTAGCACACTGTTATGACATGCCCATTAGCCCAGTTCGGAGCAGAACAGTAGGACGTTGAACCCCATTTCATTAAGTTGAATTACAGTAATATCTAACTTACAGAAGTTTGCTCTTTTCATCTAGCCAAAATATTGATAAAGAAGTTGGATCTTAATAGTCCCCACAATGCCTCAACAAATCAAATTGCTTCTCTCTGCTTGGTTTGCCTTCCAAAAGGTTCTTTGAAATCAAAATATTTCCCAATTTGGCGTGTTTGAGTTACCCCCCTTTATACTATTTCTGCCGATAGCTCAAATCGCATAAATCGATATCACCTGCATTATTCGAAATCGAAAACCCGAAAGGTACTTTGGTTAGTCAAAGACTGGTAGCCAAAAAACCCGAATTTGTCAATTTAAAACAATGATGTTGCCTTCTTAACGGGAAAAGATGGGCTTCTGCTATCTAATATTTAAGACAAAATAAACATTTTACCATTGGTGCACGAATCGTATACCTGTGTGCGTTTCGGCGCCATTTGGAACGAGGTTAGACATATTCCACAAGTCATGTCATGACGCCGTATCCTTATCTGTAGAGCAAGAGCATGCGCAAAAAATACTGCCGGTGTAGACTGGAATAACCAGATGATAAAGATTGCCATTCGATTAGACTTCTTGCGTATTTCGCCGAACATAACTGAAATTGGAGTAAAAACGGAAGCTTGCGATTGTGGTTTCGATGCCTGGTGTGAGTGTATGTGGCTTGGAGATAGGGGTGCCTTCTCAACCTAGTGGGTTTACTCCGGTTTCCTCCCACAGGAAGGACCCATGCGCATGCGCTAAGATTAAAAAAAAAATTTGTCTGCGATATCACCTTCGGTAGTAGCGGACGTTAAACACTAAGAACAACATCGGATAATAATTGTGACTTCTTACACTATTTGCCATATTGTCGGGCAATTTCGATCCGATTTTCACGACCCAACCATCATTACGGTGTAACAGCGATATAAATTGTGACCTAGATAGTCCACAAGCTAAAAACGGGATTTTTCGTACAACCAGGCGTCATAATCCAGGAAGTTACAGATACGGAACTGACAGACAAAATGGCCCCTGATTGTACGAAAAATTGCGTTTTTAGCTTGAGGTCCCTCTAGATGTCACAATTATTATCCGATTTAAAAAAAACCGTTCAAATATATCACTGTTACACCGTAATTTTGGTTGAGTTCGAATTTTGTGAAAATCGGACCAAAACTGCCGGACAAAATGGCCTGATTTTGATGAGAGTTGAAATTCTATGCTTATAACCCAAAGATATTAGAGACTTTTGGCAAGCGGAATTTTCCCACCCGTATCACGTATCCGTATCGTATACGTGATACGTTGCGTCAATGTAGTTTTAGAGTTTTGGCAGATTTTCGCGTCGCGTACGTGTGCGTCGATGAGCTGAGCTTAGTTCTGTTACAGCATGATGGCATCAGTACTAGTCAAGTGCCTATTAGAGCCGACAATTTCCCGGAGAGAATGAAGTAGCTCGACAGTCGCTGAGCTATTAAAAAAAAAATATTGTCGGATCTTATTAAAAATCTTCAACTTCGACTCGACTGCAATTTTTGGTTTCACTAATGTATCATTTCACAAAGTTTATACCCCTTTACCACAGAATAAAATCATTTACAGATTTGCAAGGTTCCGCCTCCCTAAATTCGTAGATCAACCATCGTGGTTAAAATCACATCAATATATACACCTTCGTGTTCTAGAATACATAAAGATTCATAAAAACGCTACGAAACAACATTTCAGCGTCTAAGAGTAGCAAAAAAGACGGTAAAAGGACACGACAATGTTATACGGACCTTTTCCGTATGAAAGCTGTTCGATACGTACTGCCGTATCCGTGTGCCGTACCACGTATGAGAAATACACACACATTGATGACGTCACACGCAAAATCCATACGGATACGCGATACGGACCAGAAATTTAAGCTTGCCAAAAGTCTCTATTGGTTTCTTTTGATAATCGTGCCGTAACTTCCTGAATTATGGCCCTTGAAAGTACATAAATCACGTTTTTAGCTTGCCGTCCATGTAGAGGTCACAATTTTTATCCGATTTAAAAAAAAACATGTGAATATATCACCATTACACACTAAGATCTTGGTTCCTTTTGATAATCGCGTATATCCGAACGTAACTTCCTGGATTATGGCTCCTGATTGTTCGAAAAATCGCATTTTTAGCTTGCGGATTCTCTAGAGGTCACAATTTTTTTTCCGATTTTAAAAACCGTTTAAATATTTCACCATTCCACCATAATAAAGGTTGAATTCGAATTTAGGGAAAATCGAAATGAAACTGCCCGAAAAAATGGCCGCTCTTTGTACGCAAATTGTGTAAAAGTATGCAATACGAAGGTTGTGGACCCACTAGAGGTCACAATTTTTATCATATTCTGATGAAACGTAAAACATTTGCGTATTTTTTAACAGCGTGTTGTGTCGCTCATACTGGTTCTAGCGAGGTAAGCAAGGTCTTATATTCTCACTAAGGTGTTCATTTATATTGTTCAGGCGTTCACGGGGACTGACACGCGACCGTTTAGGAGAAAAAAATTGCCCAGTAAGATTGACTGGGGCGGATCTCAGTTTCGAAAAGGATTCAATAGAAGAGTTTCTGAAAGTACAGGCCGAGTGTAATGAGACCTACGTTCAGAGCTGAACTACTGGTTTAGGTATTTCTGAAACAATACCAACTGTTCGACTAATTCTATTCGTGTGACAATCAATAATATAATTTAAGTTATCAAAATCTTCGTAACAAGCTCTCTCAATTTTCTAGTCCTACATATTCATAACAGGGAATTTCTTCTTTTTTTTCAAACATGAAAAGATGACTAGGTTATTTTATACTATACCGTTGCAATTTAGGTGCACGCATTCACACAAAAATTTTCTCTTCTATTTTGGCATTGTTTACCTGCAATAAGCACTTATTTTGAGACCGACTATGTGACGTAAGAAATTTAGGTGCACGTATATAAATAGTTCAGCTCTGAACGTAGGTCTCATTACACTCATCCTGTACGTTCAGGCATAGGCGTACGGGGAAATTTTTGACTGGGGGGGGGGGGGGGGCGGGGCGGTGGTGGTTGGTGCCCCCAAAATGTAGTTAGGTTCTTAGTATGTTACATAATAATAATAATAATATCTCTTTTGCGATGAATAAGTTCTTAATTTCTAAATCATCAATAAAAGAGAACTAAATTTTATTTACTTGTAATATACACAACTAAAAACAGTTGTTTATGTAACTGTAACTCGTGGCTTACTGTACTCCAAACAATAGAGGGTTCGAGTCGTTAAGATTTCTATTTAATTGCCTAACTATAGACACTCTGAATTTAAATTCGCTGTTAAATTGGACACATTCAAGAACACAATATTTTTTTATACAACTTTTACAAAGTACAATTGTGTGCCCAAATTTGGCCCAGCCCCCCCCCCCCCCAGCTCGTACGCCTATGCGTTCAGGGACTCTTCTATTGAATCCTTGTCGACATAATTTGGCTTCCAAGTCAATTTTACTGGGCAACTTTTTACTGCTAAACGGTCGCGTGTCAGTCCCCCCACACACACCCCATATTTACGCCCCTGTCCACATGTATCAAACATGACCACCGTCAGAAATTTTCAAAATGTTCAACATATCCACATGTATCAAACATGACCACCGCGATGGGGTACCCCCGCCAGACGTCTGCAATTGCCCCACCCCACAAGCTAATTAAGTAATAGTCGACTAGCCCATACTAAACGCACGATAATTGAAAAGTTCGTAAATAGTATTGTCCTTTTTAGCCACATGTACGATAGCTGGAAATAAATATATAACTGACAAGAGTTATACAATCATTATGTGTTCAACAACCCTTGTTTTACTTATGAATATTAATCTCCCCAGGAAAAATTGATTAGTTTTTCTTATTCAATTTGAATTT